AAACAAATGCTCTGGCGAAGATACAATAATAAAGAGAAATAAATAAAATAGGAAATATTCTAAAGCAACAATAGCACAAAAAGTACAGTGCTAAACAATAACAAGAATAATAATACAAGAATTATTCTAGAAGGGGTAACATTTCAAGAGTAAATGCTAGTAAAAATCGGGCAAGGAGTAGTGATGATCTTGGGTGAAGATCAAGTGTAACAATATAAACCTTTTATTAAATTGAATAAATAATTAATATTAAATTTATTAAATTTATTAAATACCATTTCTACTATTTTATTAAATAAATCTATATGTATTTTTAAATTCAAAAGTTTAATTTTTTGGAAATTAAGAATTTTACATTAAATATAGGTAAAACCATTTATTTGCTAATAATAAACTTATAGTATTTTTATTTGTTAAATATATTTTGGTTACAATTTTTGTAATAATTAAGGATTTTATCAAATATTTTTATTTATCTTATTAAATAAAGTAGTATTATATTATATAAATATATAATGATTCTCAAGCAGCAGATATGAAAAATTGAAGAAATATGTTATAGATAATTAACTATTTATTATTACCTTAATAATTTAATACACTAATTATATTCTTTATAATTTTATATAAATAGAATTAAAAGATAATTATCAAATAGTAATAAAAAGTTAGATTTGTTAAAAAGTTGAAAGTAGTAAAAAAAGAATTGATTATATATTAATGAATTAGTAATAAAGTTGATAATTCATTTCTTTAATAAATATTTTTCAATTATAATTATCTTTAAACAATTATAATCACAGTGTTTTTTGTCTTATGTTTTTTATAATTTATATTATATTACATTAGGAGTTATACAATAAATAAAATATTTTTTTGCTATTTGTTTTCTGTTCTATTTTGGTTTTAAAGGTTGAATTGATATAATAATAAAATTTTTTATAAAAAAGAAAATAATTTAGTAATCATTAACTACTTGTTAAAATAGTAATTATATAAAAAAGTTGACATTTCAATTTTTATTTGAAAAAAATAATAATATCTAGCAACTATAAATAAAATTGATTATAAGAAACATGTTTACTTAATATACAAAAAAAAATTTTATTGACAAAATAAAAAACTTACTAGGTGGTAATTATTTCAGATTAATTAATTGATTTTTCATTTATTGAGACACTATTTTTAAAATTTTATTATTGCAAATTATTAATGTGTATTTATATTAATAGTTAGAATCTATCTAAAACTGCTATATCCAAAAAAAAAAATACAATTATAAGCTATACAAAAATATACATATCATGCAAAAAAAATGACAATTTTTTTTATAATTATATTTTAATTAATAATTCCATAAATAATTTTTTTTTATAATTTAATATTTTACTAATTTATTTTTGAAGATATAATAAAAAAAAACCAATTAAATAATTTTAAATAATAAGCTTTTTTTTATAAATTTTATTTTAAAGTTAAAGATATCATTAAAAAATTGATTCAAAAATAAGATTATAAAAACTTTTTTAAAAAAATTATAACTTTTAATTTAATTGATAAATTTATTAAAAAATAATATATAAAATATTAAAAATGTTCAAAAATATTTATATAATATTTTTATATATAAAAAAGAGTAAAAAAAATTAAATTATTTAAAAAAATATTAATATATTGATTCAAACAGTATTAAGTAAAGTTGTTTATAAGATATTTAACTATATATTTATGAAATTTCATAAATTTTTAATGATTATTTATTAAGTTATAACTAAAAATACAATTGTCATTTTTTTGCACCATACTGTATATATATATATTATCAAAAATTAATCCAGCTAATATATAAATGAAAACTAATCTTGACTTATAAATGGTGTAAATGAACAATTAAAGTATAAAAGGATATAATTTTTAATCATATAAAGAAAAGAAACACGAATTATGGCATCATATTTGTCATTGAGAATGCATACTCCGCAGTTAAAATTTGGAGACATTTGCTCAAAAAATAAGGTTCTACCTTTTCAAAATATACTTTTATAATCGGTCCTATTCATAATAATACGACTGTTCACTTTTATTTAAAAAAATAACTTAAAATGTTTCTTTATTTAATAAATTATTATTTTTTATCCCTTCGCATGTGTGGTCCTCCCTTACGTCTTTAAAGCTGAATCTGATAACGGAATACGGTTCTAATCGAGATATAAAGCAGGGCCTTTACTGATATTTAAAGGACATAAGACCTTAGTTTCTTTTAGATTTGGTTTATAAGGTTCCCTGTATAAGTAACAGAGTTATTGTTTATTCTACAGGTAATAGATCATCTTTAGAGTTCGCTTCTAATTTAAAAAAGCATTTCAGCCGGTTTAAATGAGTTTGCCTCACCTACAAGGGCGGTTAGTGAAAACTACTAGCGTGAATAATTAGTAAGAAATAAAGCGAGTTTAAACAAAAAGCTACTATGGTTACCTTTTACACACTCGGTAGTTACAAGTTGTTGTAAATGTCACACAGGAAAATTATTGGCAACATGAAGCTTCCTTAATCTACAATGTAGGCCAAAAGTTTCCCACGTTATCGAAGAATACATCTAGTCTTGCCTTTTTGATTAATTCTTCAAAAGTCAATAGTCAATGGCACGCACTTAGCTTGAGAAAATTTAATTCATTAAGTTAGATTTATGAAATTTTGCAAATATGACAGTTACTGCGCAGAATATATGTAAAAAATTAATCTATTTTACTATAAAAAAGTTCTTTTTGTATCATTATCGTTCGATCAATGTCATGTACTGTTGGTTGTATAACGATAGTAAGCTTGGCTTAATCTAAAAAGAGAAATACTGTATTGTAGTGTATTTTTTTTAAAAAAAATTCCCTACAAATAAAATTCACAATTGGCTTAATTTAAGATCATAGAGCCCCTAGAGAGAAGCTCGAAACTATGAGCACAAAAATAGTATAATTAATCTGTAATATGGATGCAGCTAGAAGAACAAAATATACAAAGAATAAAGGAGCTGTGCTTCTTTGCAATCTTTCTGCGCGACATTTATAGTATAAGTTTTTTTCGTTTTTGCAATACGTGTAGTTATTACATATCCGTGAACAAAGAAAATTGGCTTAAATCATGCACAAAGATAAGAATCATCGATAAGCATCACATGTTTACTCTTCAACATGTATGATTAAAAGATAGTAATCAGCCAAGGTAAAAAATAATTGGCAAATCGATCTAGCAATCAGAATTTTAGAACTCGATATATCCATATAGGGAAATAATGATGCAAAGAGTAACGCAATTGTTCAGATTATTCTAGAACAAATACCCATATAAAAATGTATTAATCGATTATCATCGACGCGTATAAATACAATCATTGTATCCGAGAAAATACACTCTCCCTACAGAATCTAGTGCCTTTAAAAGTTGACGGATATGGACAAGTAAGTGTATAGTTGTCAATTACAAAGAAAATAGAGACTAACATGTTTGATCGTGCACATAGTTCTAGACAAGATTCTTTCACGAAAGTAGCTTTAAACAAAACAGCAGCAAAAATATGTCTTGCAGACATTATTTATATTGTAGAAAAACACATAAAAGAAATTACAACTCACGAAAAATACCCATCTTGGAAGATACAATTGTTCCCCGTCAATAATCAGCAGCTAGATGATTCTTCGAAATTTTTCCGTAAATGGGAAGAATATGAAAACAAAAATTTAAAAAAATATTATTTTGATATTGCCTCACTATCAACACGCAAACTCCAATCATTTAATGCAAAAATAAAACCTCAAATTATAATAGAATTAATTAACTTTATATCTCATCTTATGGACCAATCACAGTATTGTACTATGAGAGTCATAGTTAATGCCTTCAAGCCTGTAGACAAAATCGGATGCATTGCATGGATGCTTAATCTGCCCTCAGAGAATATACTTAAGGGTAATTTTATTTTATTTAATTTGAAATTTCTAAAAGAAAATGCTAAATGGAATTTTTTCAGAGACATTGGGATCTACGAAAAGTTACACAACAATATCTCCTAAATCAATCCAACCTGCGAACGCTGTCTACCCAACACATTCCAACAGTGTAGTAAATATTTCTAATATGGAAACAGGAAATACAGTATCCGGGCTACCTCCTAATAGTGCCGCAACAACAACCCGATCTTCCAAAAATTATATGATATCCACGGAACAAAGTACGCAAATTACTGCAAATTTCCAAATAGCTCCGCTGAACACGAGGTACTTTTTACAAAAAGTAGATGACATGAAAAATAGAAAAAGAAAAGCAGAAGACGAGCTTACTAATATGAATGGTAAACAAAGACAATTATCGGAGGAATTGAAAGCTTTAAAACTTAAGGAAGAAAAGCTAAAAAGCGAAATAACAACTATAAATAATGAAATCAATGCTTTTAAGTCTGAAACAGATGTTGCAGTAAATCAAATAACTAAAAAAATTCGAGAATTATAAACGGTTAGAGTAAATAGGACGGATGTTTGTCACGTAACTTATCGATGTGAAGGTACCGCGAGAAACCCGTTCCCGGTTGGCGGTACAGGATTATCTAATTAAAGAGAAGGGGGGAAGGATTGTAGAAAGAATAATATCGCGGTAATCCGTTATTTTATCTTATTTTGGTTTTATTTTTTTATCTATCTTCTTTTTATTATGTTATACTGTTATTACTTTTTCTTATGTAATAAGTGAGCGATTATGTATAAAAGAAGATAGAATTTAAATAATAAAAGAGAATTCGGTTAAATTAACTAGAAAATAGAAACAATTGTAAGTTCGAAACAATAATTAAAAATTACATAATAAGAAAAATATTTAATTTTTATTGAATTTAATTACAATAATTCTAAAAATTAAAACGACATGTTGGATGATTTGTTGTTTTATAAGTTCTCAGCAGCCTTCAAACAAAAATCACCTTATCTTAATTAAAATACACTCATCTACCATTATCGTTACGCGAGCCAGTGTAAATTTCTAGCGACAAATTTCGCTTACGAGGAAATTATTAAAAAGATGTGTTTAATTTACACCTTTTTTGAATTCAAAATCGTTTTATCAAACAAGATATGTAAGAACTTTTTTTAAAAACAATCCAATAAGATTTTTTTAAGCCGCCAAGCATTAAATTAGTAATGATGACTAATGTGGACGTTTTTTGAATTCTTCCGAGACTTTATGGCCAAGGCAAATGTAAAATCATTTGATCACATAAAGTCAGCATCAAAGGCAACAATAACCATGCATGCATTTTCTAAAATTAAGACAGAACGAAAACCTTGAATGTCCACACGGTGTAGAGTAGGAACACCTAATGGTTTCAATAAATTATTATAATTGTATATTAAACATTTTTTCCATCATCATTATTAACGTAACTTCTTTTACACGTCATATATACTACCCTTAATAGCGCCGAAATAATGTATAGAGCGATACTAATAATCACGAAAAATAAACAATAGAAACAAAGTTGTGCATATGCCATAGTAAGTATATAGGTTGTGGGAATCAAATTCAAACGTAATTTTTTATCTTGCATCAAAATAAACAAATTCATGTAGAGATAATTCATTTTAAAAAGATGCACTATTTACAAGTAAATGCATATTCAACATTTAATATACTCAGCGATATACTGTATAATTTATTTATTTTTCTGTATTCTATCAGCTTTTACTCATTTCCCATACTTCAAAAATCACCCGTTTTATATAATACCGATTAATGGAAATTTCAGGGGAGGAAGGTTCGAATGAGAAAGAGAAAGTATTACATTGCGCATAACGCAATCACGATCATCTACAAACCATTTCATTTGGAGAGCCGAGCTAAAACATCATCCTTCAGCACCAATTAAATCTTCGCAACAATTTCGAACTACTGTAGTCAAAATTATTAATATTGTTCTTAACATTGTAGGGCGATCGGCAAGTCTGTCGCTAAGTTAGCTCAAATTTGCGTAACCGTGGGGAGGGGTTTTTATTTTTGTTTTCAGTAAATTATTTGACCAAGAACTCACGTTTATTTTATTTTATTTTATTTGGCCTTTATTCTATACAATTATTCCAGTAATCGCATGATAAAGGGTAATGGAGAAAAAGAAATAAAAAATCAAAATTGCATAATTCATTTATGTATTCTTTGATCGTTGTGACTAGGATTAAGTCGTTCGGGCTCAGTAAATGAACAATTGAATATAATTAAATACAGACGAGTTTGATTACTATTATCTGCTAAGTAACTTTATTCGAACATTTCTTAATAAATTTAATTAGTAATACACAAAAGATCTTAGAACCGAATAACTATTTCAAATTACATTGGAAACGAATCGATTATGAACTGGTTTCCGAATTTGTTTATAGTCAATCTATTTATTGATGATATTGATGATTAGATTTGGATAGTTCTTTTTGAAGGCAGACAGGGATTTTTCTGACTTTATAATTGAACTTCTGGAATTTACATTGATATGTATTGTTCAAAAATATATATATATATATAAATTGTTTATAACATTTTCGTCTTTTTCAAAAAGAATTGGCCATTTTTAATTTCACTAATTAAATTTGATAAAATATTGTTAGTGCCAAATTTAATTAATATTAAACAAAAGAAAGGAATATATAAAAAAAAACAAATTATTCTAAATAATTAACTTCAAATGACTTAAACTACTTAACATCCCTAATCGTGAATATTATTTTCTTGTTGTTTATGTACAAAAATTATTCTTTTAATAATATTTACTTGAAAATGTAAGCTTATTTTACTGGTCAGAGGAATAACATTGCATTTTTAGTTTAACGAGATGATGGGATGGTAACGGAAATTTTGAACTTTATTTATGTTTTCTTGTTAAATTTCACGGTGAAAATTTTAAAATAATTGATAGAAAGATTGAGCGACAATTACAATTAACATAGTACGGAGACAATAGATACAGAAGGTTTAAAAAAGGACAAGACGGTAACAGAGATGCTGTCTTTGATGCATTCCGAATGTTTTCTCATTGAAATTCGCGGGATTAAACTAATTTTAAAATGAAAACAAAGTTCATATTTATGTTAATAACGTTTTTAATTTTGCAGATAGAAAAAAAAATGACTATTTTAAATAAATTTTCTAAAATTTAAAAAATAATATTTGTAGTAAAGGTTAAAACATTCCTAATGGTAATAATGATCTACACTTGTTAAAACTTTTATATTCTTGCTTATGAGTATTGGTTAACAGACCGCTACTTAGGGTACTGTATTTACAGTGTGCAACCCTCCGTACATATTTAATTACTGCACTACCTCGAATTTACTTACTTGCAAATTGATATTTTATTTTACCAAAGTGACAATATTGAAACATTAAATATTTAGCGTATAAACAATAATGTCCTTTTCAAATGCAAATGACGAAAAAGAAGAGTGGTTTATTAATGCAATTAAAAGCCGATACGTTAAGTCCTTTGACTATAATTTATTTAATCGGTTTCGGTTTATTGCAACGGGCGGCTTTGGTAAAGTTGAAAAGGCATACTTTAAAAGTGTTAGAAACACCGTAGTCTTAAAAAGCTTGCACAGTAACGTTAAATATAACCCTAAATTTTATAAATTATTTGTAAGCGAGGTAATTATATTAAAAAAAATATGGTAACTTTTTTTGATGTGGTACACTAATTTTACTAATGTATCTATTAAGCTACAAAATGTCAGCGCTGTTAATCATAGTGATAACGTTATAAGATTTCTGGGAATTACTCAGGGTAAATATATAGAAAATTTAAAGTTTTTAAAGTTTTTAAAGTTTTTAACGTTTAAATGTCTTATACTACTAGATCCAAAGACTGCTACCTACTTCTTGGTATTTCAATATGCTAATGGAGGAAATCTCCGTGATTACTTTCATGATTTACATAAACGAGGTTGTTTTAATGAACTCGAATGGCCTAAAAAAATCAGAATGGCTAAAGAAATTGCGAGAGGATTGTGCTGTATACATGCAGCAAATATAATTTATCGAGATCTAGTTAGTATCTATTATAAATTTTGGAGATTATATTAAAAACCTACTGATATTTGAATTTATTACTTTAGCATTCTAAAAACATTTTAATACATGATGGTAGATTGATGATAACGGACTTTGGGTTATCCAAATCACAAGAAATTGGAACATCTATTTCTGGATGCACGCCTAAACATTATTGTGATCCATACTTCTTAAATGCTGATGAGACTTACAAACGAGATAAACCTTCAGATATATACAGCTTGGGGCAGCTTTTCTGGGAGATATCGAGTGGAGAAATCCCAAATAAAAAAATCGGTGCAATAGATATTATCAAAGGAAAAAGAGAAACGCCAGTTGATGGCACTCCGTTAGATTATGTAAATATTTATTCTAGAGCTTGGCAGGATGAACCAAATAAACGTCCTACAATTGAAGCTATTCTAGACGATCTCAAAAGGTTAGGTTACGATCAGTACGTCAAATAAAAGCCGACGTAGAAGAATTTTTTACAGATAATAGTTCGAATTCGTTTGAATATTTCGATATTTCGATTAGTTGCAGTTCCATCAAAACGCGTAGCAATACAGGTTATTATTTTATAATTGATAATTTAGTTATTATAACTTTCCATGACATAATAATTCCTATATAATAAAAGTATGTGATTAATGAGTTTATTAATTAAATTTTTTAATACTAGGGACTCTTAATGACATAAGAAATAAAGTTCAATCATACTTTGAAGAAGGAGAATACGTAAAAGCATTGAAACTTTGGGAAGTAATTCTTAATGATCCTCAACACATGCTAGAAGATCGGAGGAATGCGTCGACATGGAATCTTAGAAACAAATTTATAGATAATTCGGCAGGAAAAAAATTGGCTGAGGCTCTATGCAAGAATACCACCCTGACAGAGTTAAATATGATTTGGAATGGTATAGGAGAATCGGCAGGCAAATCACTGGCTGAGGCTCTATGCAAGAATACCACTTTGACTAGTTTGAGTTTGCGAAATAACGGGTTAGGAGAATCAGCAGGAAAGGCACTGGCTGAGGCTTTATGCAAGAATACCACCATGACTAATTTAGATATAGGTTATTGTTTTATAGGAGAATCGACAGGAAAAGCACTGGCTGAGGCTCTATGCAAGAATACCACCCTGACTAATTTGAATTTATATGGCAATAGAATAGGAGATTCGGCAGGAAGAGCACTGGCTGAGGCTCTATGCAAGAATACCACCCTGACGGAGTTAAATATATCATCTAACAAAATAGGAGAATCGGCAGGAAAAGCACTGGCTGAAGCTTTATGCAAGAATACTACCCTGACTAATTTGAATTTAGGAAGTGACAGTTTAGGTGAATCAGCAGGAAAAGCACTGGCTGAGGCTATATGCAAGAATACCACCCTGAACAATTTGAATTTAGGAAGTAACAGTTT